TAATGAACCTATTCAGATTTCTCCCCTTCCCATATCCTAAGAAGTTTATCCCTAATAGGTAAAGAAAAACAGGAATATTTTAGAATGGGCTGCAGCACACTGGGTGTAACATTCTTGATTCTGACAGCTTAGAACTTTCTCTCTTAAAAATCTGAATTTAACCTATAATATTCGAAAGAACTCCCACTGTCAGGAAATCAGTGATTAAAAAAAAATACAAACAAATCAAATAAGAAGATAAGAAGGATCTAGATGACTAGAAACTTGCTGGCCAACTGCTATGTAAGAGAAAACAGTTTCTTGCTATAAAAAAATTCATTAGAGAAATGAGAATAGAAATGGTTCACTGCACTGACTACACAAGACACAATAAGGAGCTCCATTTCTTATATGCAGTCCATCTCTATACCAGTCCTTGACTGTAAGCTCTAATAATGTAAATTATTAGAAGGAAATCAAAGTAATCAAAGATTAATTTTGATATTAAGAATAGTATGTATGATGTGGACTGCACTGTCAAAATATCAGAAGGAAACTCAGAGAGGTAATTACCATATTGGAGTAAGTTTTCAACTACCTCAGTTATTAGAACGTCTCTTAAGAAACACTTCATTTCTCATAGCTGCTTATGGAAATAATTTAAATACATAAAGGGTATTGAAGTAATGTGAAAATGGGCTGTGAAAGAAAAGCAGTAAAAAACAGCTTTGGACAGCACAGATGGATTACCTCAAAAATTTTTATTTCCTGAAAAACCATTATTTTCCACCTATCCTCCATTTTTTGTAAGTTAAAAATCCCTTCAGTCCTAGCTTTGAGCTGACTATCCCTAATCTTGAAATGGTTGAAGCTCAAAGAAACTCAAAATATACTATCTGATATTCAATCTTCAGGCAAGATATCCCTTTGTTTCTTCTAATCATGCTGCAAATGTGCCAGCTCTATTTCTCTATTACTCATTATTTAAAACCTAGCAAGGCCTTTTTTTGAAGAAGAAGAAAAAAAGATACTGCACCTGAGAACAGTTTTGTTTCAGGTCTCTTTAAACTAGGCTACCTAGCTAAATTAAGATCAAGGAAATAACTAGCTAGGTAGACTGGTATTTTTCAAAATTTTTTTTTTTTTTTTTTTTTTACAAAACAGCTGCCAGCAACGAAAGTATGAAAGGATGTAAGAAGTAATATTAAAGAAAAGAAAATCAGGCTAAGTCTTGTGTGCACTATATGAATTTCACAATTAGTCATCTACTAAATAGCATTTACTGACTTGGTACTATATTTTCTAAAGATTGGTCGAATTTCTATCAAAACAGATATGTTCCAAAAAAAGTAAGAATAAAAAGTACAGCTCTGAAAACATAATTCCACTTACTGGCACTTACTCCACACAGAACTGTGTCCAACACAATTCCACTGCAGTGCTGACAAACATGAGAAAAAACTGACTTTACCTTACTGAGGATGAAATGCAGTTTTTGGTAGGTTGTTACACAGTTGATGCATTGTACACTTGGAAGGCATATGCATGTTACCACTTCCAAAGAAATTCATGAATTTGAATAAACAAATGAGTCCTGTTATCCTGTCAAGATTAGTTAGCAGTATTTCATTTTGCTTTGCAGTTCATTCACTATATCTATGTACTCTTATTCCTGCAGATAAATTAGAAGTATGATGTTATTTGCCCTCAACCTTCTTTATGGGCTGAAACCAGGTGCTGGAAATGATAAGGACATATTATTTGCCTCAAAGCACAGAATGAGATGCTAACTCCAAAGCAAAGTAAGAAAAATACAATTGGAAAGAGAGTTTTTCATACTATAAAGTTATTATAAATAGAAAAAATTCACAACAAAAGTCGAAAGAAATCTGGATACAGAGAAGTGATCTTGAAGTTCCTTAACAGATTATATTTAACATTTGAATTATTCTGTAGTGACAAGCATTACATAAGTGAGCTGAACATATGTACTATTAAGAGTTAAAGCTCTGACTTTTACATAAAAAAGTTTATTCACATACCTGATACAGTGCTTAAAAAAGAAAACACTCTTACAAACCAATTTTTCTTCATCCATCAATTGACGTCCTCAAGGCAGTCTTCAAAACTGACTAATTTTGGCATGAAGGGGGCTCTCATTTTAATCTGCTTTTCTCCCTCCAGTTGACATCACAACTGGCATCAAAGGAACTATGAAGAAGACGCTACTGAAACCGAAAGGCTTTTAAAAAAAGGCTGACCATGTGCCTAATTCATTCTTCAAAAGCAAGGGAACAACTATCCTGACCAAACAGGACTGGTATATATATAGAAATGCAAAGTTAACTTTCAATTCAGCTTTAGTTTAGGAAGCTTTTTTTTTTTTACTATCTCAATTTAAATGCAGTTGTTGTTTTGAGAAGCTCACTAGAAGAAGGTATATCTGAGGCAAGCTCTCAGAAAATATGGAAAATAATTCCATCATTGTGAGCTACAGAAAAAATAACTTGGAATTGCTTAAGTGTACCTTTTTGTAAGAAAGATTTACTTCAAGAAAATTTTTAAAAACCTTGCTCTTAGAGGATCTGCAGAAAAAAAAGATGAAGACCTGTTGTTTTTGCACTGAATTATAAATTATACTGAAGTTACATAAAAAGAACTTGATTCTAAGTTGTTCTATATAAACATGTTAAACTTTCTGAAGGAAAAAAGCAAGTACATTTTTATGCATTCTTGATATTTACTAGTTGAAATATACCATCTTCCACTTATAATGTCACATACCTTGAAAAGCAAAACAAATGTTTGCTATAAAAGTCAACATTAAATCTTTTTGGAAAAACATTCATATATGTAGAAAAAGCTAAGAGTATAATTTTTAAATAGTGATCACATCACCTCCAGCTTACTGTGTTTTTGTTAATGCCATGCGACAATCTAAGAAATAAACCACAGTTTTTGTATATCAATGTAATATCTGTTAAAAATACTGATCTCAATTATCTATTGTTAGTTTACAAATAAAGTAGATAATCGTAAATTAGGGTAAGCAAAGCATGCAAATCTATAGATTCTATATCTGAATTCCTAGATTAGCATTAAAACCAATCACCGCAACAAATACCTCAACAGTATGCCTTGTGTGCAGAAAGGAAGCGATACTGAACATTCAATGCCACAACTGTAAGGTTTTCGGAGAAGCACCTGTGGCAGTTTCAGCAGTTTCTATATGGAATGCTCCCCCTTTCTAGGATTACTTGAAAAAATCAAGTCAATTCGAATTACGTAGCTGTAAAACATTGACATGTGTAGTTTTCACAGTTTCAGAATCTTCTGTTTGATTTAAACGGGCAATGGTGCATAAACAGGAAACTTATAATCATAAGGGATCACATATTTGCAGGCAACAATATGATTAAAAGTTACATTAACATACATAAAGTGCTGTAGCACATTATTCATTATGTAAGCCATTATCATGTGACCACCTTAACAACAAGATACTAAGCCTTTTATGCCTTTAAAGTATTATTACTTTCATCCTGAAACCCATTTGCCAGTTCTTCACTGAAATTTATATAGAATAAATTAAAATTACCAGTCAACCCATGGCTTCAATCACTTTAAATTTA